TTGCGAAATTTTGGTTGCGTTTCGTGCTATAGTCAGGTCCTGTGCGATGCTCTTGTACTTAAGATTATTTTAAGTACAAGATCATTGCATGGGATCTAACCATAGCGCGGGACGGGGCTAAAATTGTGCAAATCTGCGTTACCCACTTAGCAAAATGTGGATATTGGCTACGTAGTTCAATGTCCACGTTTTCAATGTCCACAGAGGGCGTATCGCATTCGCCAATCACGAAAAACGGGGCCGTGACATCTCTCAGGCTTCTCTCTGGTCATGGCTTCCGGATGGTTACCGAAGGTCACTCGGGGTGCATATTTTTCGGGCTCCCCCGATTGATTATCACTGTCGGAGTCACAACAAAGGTTTTTACCAAGAAAACCGCAAGAAAATATCAAAATTCGGAAAAGTTCCTATTCTCCATAAATACCATTTTTCCAAATAAAACTAACTTTGTATTGTTCCTGCCATATGTGGATATATTGTTGAAGTCCCGGAACGTGACAAGCAATTCTTATGTCTTAAATCATTCAGTATCATAGATAGGAAATCAATTAAATTTTGAATCCGGCTAACTTCCATTTAATAAATATTTAATTAAAATTATCTGGATCACTCACAAACCTTTTTAATTGCACTACAAACGTCTTCATACGAAATACCAACGATTTCATATAAAAATTTTATCTAATTTATCTATTGCGCTAAGTATACGGTGGAAAAATAATTAATTAATTACAAACAAACGAATGACTCACAAACCTTTCTAATTGCACTAGAAACGTCTACATACGAAATACAAACGATTGCATATAGAAATTATTTAAAAATACATTCAGTCGGCGTCAAGTATGAGCGAATCAATAGGAATAGGGAATAGGAATAGGGAATAGAAATCTATGTAATGCCAAGACACAATGGTTCGTTGGCAATAGGCGTGCTGTCCAATCATCTGCATTTTAAAACCACGTTCTGTCCCAGTCTCCACTGTGATTGGTCAGGTAGATCAGGCACAGGGAATAGGGAACAGAAATCCAACGCGTCGGATATTCTGTTCCTATTGCCTATTCCATATTCCATTGTGCGTCGATGCACGGTTTCTGGTAAGTTGGAATTTAGTTATTTCTGTTGCCTGTGTTATTCCCTATTCCTATTCCCTGTGCTTTCCCATTGTGTGATAGGCTTAAATTTACCGCTCGCCTAGGGAAGGAGAAGTTATAGTTGCAAAATATGAGCGTCGTAAAACCATGACCGCTGGCTGCGTTCAAAAACACCACCCGAGTACCCCAGAGTATCATTTTATCCTTGTTTAACATACGGTGAGCAACAAGGATAGAATAATACTGGGGTACTCGGGTGGTGTTTCTGAACGCAGCCCTTGTCACACCATGGCACACTGAAAAAGTTGAAACGGTCTCAACTTTTTCCCCCCTTCGTCAAGAAGTCACTAGAACTCATTTGCCGCTGGTTTCTAGCGTCAATGAAATTGCACCTTTAGGCCCGGTCTACAATGAGTTGTTAGTCGTTAGTCAGAAGTCGGAACTATATGTCGGTCCTTTTTCTTCTACCCAGAAAGGAAAAGGATCAACATATAGTTGCGACTTCTGACTAACGACTAACGACTCATTGTAGACCGGGCCTTATTACAGGGACTCTAGCCGCAACAAGCCGCAGGCTTCAATACGCAGGACGTACAGAAGTTGGGCGAATTTCAACTTTGCGTCCTGCGTCGAAGCGACCAGCCAATCAGAACATATCTTGTCATATCGCGGTAACTGTCAAATATTTTCGTATATCGTAGGATCTCGTCGAGGCGAGAAATTAAGTTTTTTTTTAAATGGTATATAATTGGGATTCCGCGGCAACGCGGGATTTAATTTGTAAAATTAAAAAAAATTAAGAGAAGTTATGACATTTATGTTCTGATTGACATTTTATTCATTTTTCTTTTGACGCAGAGAGCTCGCTGCGTATCTATATGGACTATATAGACGCAAAAGTCTTACGACCTGCGACTTGCGTTCCGCGTTCTGCGACTTGCGACCCGCGTCCTGCGCCCAGACAGCACACGACGTCTAATGGACGTCCATTTTTTGTTCTTATTTAGTCCAAACGTCCATGGACCTAATATGGACGTTTTAAGAACGTACATTATTGGATGTACAAAATATGTTGTTAATTTTGGTACGTTTTAAAGAT